GCTGGATTTGAAGAGTATCTTCAGAGGCTACAAGAAGCAAAATATTGTCATGTCAGACTCTTTAGCCATATTGTCTACAAAGAGGCAAACACACTTAGAGGAGAATGTGGTGGATGTTATCTTGCCTGTTAGAGAAAATTCAGAAGAGCTGGAAAGCCTGCCTGAGGAAACCACATCTGATACGGCCCTCATTCTTAATTCACAGATCATTAATAGCTAAAATAATTTCTTTTTGCTACGTGCAGCTTTTTTGGCAATGATGTTTGCCTATGATTCCAGTGTTTTCTTTACAGTTACAGCTACTTCACTCACAGAATAGACCTAATTGCTTTGAACTAGTGACAAGGGATACATATTCCCATTAATGCTGATTAACAGGGATACATATTCAAGAGAACTCTCTCCTATTTCCTGGAGTCCACTTTACTTTTCTCACCGATGAAGCAATTTGTCTGCTTTGTCTCATTTTAGTTATTCAGTCACTACTATAGCAATTGAAAGTGCTGGTAACGATTGAGGAAGCTATCTGATGTTGCTTAGCAAGTAAAGACAGTATGCAGAATCTCATGAAAAAAACTGCATTTTCCCCAGGTCATTCTGCTTCTCGATTTAATATCTTGCACTTTGGCTATGAAATGCAATTTTTCAAACCCGATTCCAACGGGACTTGATACAGTTTGATTATTTTGATCTGTACATAATATCTGACTCCTAGCCAATAGTCTGCTGCCACCTATAACACATATTTTTGTTATCTTTTGGAAACAAATTCCATAAACATACTAGAGTTTCATCGACACTTTTTTCTGATTGGGGTGTGGTTAACTGTGGTACAACTATCAAAACCTAAGGCTTGGCTATTCCCAAGTGCCTATTTCAAACTTGCTTTTGAATTGATTTTTCAGTTTTTAAGAAGCAAAACTTATTTTAAAAGATGCTTAAAATAGATATAGTTAAATTCACATATCTTTACAAACTATTAACAAATTTAATGACCTCCCCCGCAACACCCCAACAACAGTTTGTTATTTTTCCACATATTTTATAATTACTATGAGGGTTATCTGGAAAGTAAGGTTACAAGGCACATAGCTCTCATGGGGCATTTTCTCAGGGTAAGTTGATATCACTGCCATGTAGCGGGAAGCCAGCGGGAGCGAACAAGCAGTGCCAGTCATCAGTAGCTCATCACCTGGCGTTGTGATGAAGCTTAGAGATGAGTGTTCTCGTTCTGTTTCCTCCCAAGTGCGAAGTTTGCACTGTAATATGCTACCTAAATGCTAACGGCATGAACACCGCTGTGATTCATTGTGAAATTGTTTCAGTTTATTGAGAGGACATAATGTCAAGATAATATGTGACAAAATGGGTATGGAATATATTGTGAGACCATGAAGAAACTTTGCAGAGCCATCCAAAGCAAACGTTGTGGGACACTGATGGTGGGAGTCTGTCTCCTTCATGATATTGCACATCCACACACTGCTCGAGCAACACAAGAGTTGTTGGCTTCATTTGGTTGAGATGTTTTAAGCCACCCCTCCCACAGACCTGATCTCGCACCCAGTGACTATCATCTGTTCACTAAATTGAAGGAACATCTGGGTGGAAAACACTTTTCCGACAATGACGAGGTGAAAATCGAAGTGATGAACTGGTTGAAAAAGGTGGAGGGAAACTTCTATGACACAGGCATCAAAAACTCATCCTACGGATGACAAAATGAATTGAACTGAATGGTGATTATGTGGAAAAATAATACGACACCTATGCTACAATCCATGTAAGTTTTATTAAAATATATTCATTCTTTGTATTTTTAAAAAAATCTTGTAACCTTACTTTCTGGATAACCCTGGTATTAGTACTTCCTCCTCCTCCTTGTTTTCTTCTGAAGACAAAAATCATCATTATTTATACCTCCATTTTTTCTCTCCACAAAGTACTTTAATGCATTTTGTCTCACTTTGTTATTAAACAAATTGCTTCTACTGTCTACCTTTATCCCTTAATCCACAGGATTCCAAAAATAGCAGGTTGTAACAAACCCGTCAACTGGGGCTCATGGAGAATTAGGGGCTGCAGTGGACCCTGCTGGGGCTTGCATGCCATGTCCAGCTGCACCTTCCTCACCCACTCTTCAGCATGTCATAATCTTAGGATCAGGGCCATTTACCTTGAGGTTGGTAGGGATGGTAATAAAGCACTCAACCTTATTTAACTTTGTTACATTGAATGATCTTATGCTCTTTCAAGAGCCCAAGTAGCAATTTACTTCTGCCTGACAAACCCCACTATAGTGGACAGAATGAAATGAACATGATCATGCAAAACAATATGAACAGAGGAAGTCCAGAATGTCTCTGCCATGATCCTCCTTAGGAAGTGCACGTGGGTAGACATTTTCTAGAATGACAGGGCTGCCCTATATAAACAAGTCACCCTATAGCAGAAGCTGCTATCATTCTTCTCACAGTGAAGCCATTGTTGGTGCTGTTGAAAGACAGATAAGAAAGTTTGGATAAAATTCTCTGCTGTGCCTTTGATAAAGATTGATTTATGTTTTAAGTATCTTTTCCTGTTTCTCTGCACTCCACAAATTCCCCTTTTTATTTTTTTTAAACATTGTAAATAGAGGGTAAGGAAATATACATACACTTATCAGTATATTGCTGACAAGGTCTACATGATTCCATGATTGTAAACATGTTGCTTTTCAATATTATAGGTTTTCAATTAATTATCAAGGCCAGCTAAACATTCTGCAGAATTTTAGACATAGGTGGTTTTTATGGTGTGGGATCTTAATTTGTATACATTAAAGCCATTAATGAAACTGACTCAAAAGAGTGACTTTTCTCTTCTTATAACTCTCATTAACTTTTGTATTTGTCCATTTTCCATGCTTGTTTCATCCATCAGCATAGGAAAAAGCAGGAGGATTTCCAGTGTGGGGACACCTCCAGGCATGCGGCTAACTTCATTTTCATCATGGGAGGAGATGGATGGACTGCAGAGGACGCGTTTCTGTCACATAACAATATTATTTCTGATTGTTATATGGTGATGTCTCTTAGAAAGGATGACAAAGTATGCCACCTGCTGGCCATGGTAGGCAATAGCACGTAGATCCCCCAGCTTTCTTAGGTCCCTTCCATACAGCTGTATAAAATCCAAATTGAACTGGATTATACAGTAGTGTGGCCTCAGATAACCCAGTTCAAAGCAGATATTGTGGATTATCTGTCTTGATATTCTGAGTTATAGGCCCATGTGGAATTTATTTATTTAAAATTTTTATATACCCACCTTCTCACCTCTCTTGAGGGACTCTTAAGGAAGGGCCCTTAAGCTTCACAAAAACTGAATGCAGTATCATTAACTGAGATTTTAGACAAGAATCAGTCAGGGCCAGCCAACACCTCCCAACAAAGGATTCCCCCAGGCAGCAATCAGCCAGGCTTTGAAGCTACATGGCCATTAAATGCTAATCAAGATGGCCAATTGCAACATTCACACTTGCCTCAAGCAGGCAAGAGTTATTTCTCCCACTCTGGACATTCCACAGATATATAAACCTTACTCACCTGGTTTCCAACAGATCGCAAAACCTCTGAGGATGCCTGCCATAGATGTGGATGAAACTTCAGGAGAGAATGCTTCTGGAACATGGTCATTCAACCTGGAAAACTCACAGCAACCCATTAATTGAGATAGCTGATTAAATATTAAATATACCCACATACTGACATAAGCACATATGCCAAAACAACTTATCAGAGAACAGCAGACAATACTGTAAAATCAGTCAATAAGGGGCACAAGGCATAAATGGGATTTTTTTCCCCTTAAGGAGCGACTCTCAGATGAGATACACATAAAATAAAACACATTGTTCACTGCCACTCTTAATCAGCTAGTTAGCCCCTTCCTATCATATTGCATGTTATCACATACAGTTTTAAAGAACTTAGAACATGCTTGAATTAGTTTTCTCATTTGAAGTTGTTTAAAAAATATAGACAAACATATGCATATATATGTGAGTGAATGCACATGAGACACTGATAATGAATAACACACCACACCTAAGAATTGAAAAATCACGGTATAGGCAAACATGATAGTCACAAAAAGTGACACAATGTCTTCTCTATAGTTCAACCACATTCAGAAAAGAAAGGGTAATTTAAGAATCGTGGTATGAAATAATATCAAAACATAAATAAGCAAACTAGGCTATTATTGTGTTGTCGAAGGCTTTCATGGTTGGAATCACTGGGTTGCTGTGATTCTTCTAGGCTGTATGGCCATGTTCCAGAAGCATACTCTCCTGATGTTTTGCCCACATCTATGGCATGCATCCTCAGAGGATGCCTGCCATAGATGCAGGTAAAACGTCAGAAGATAATGCTTCTAGAACATAGCCATACAGTCCACAAAACTCACAACAACATAGGTTATTATTTCTTCCCGCGATATACTCGTACTCCCCAGTGCTTTTGCAGAACTATAATGTCATAAACCTTCAGGAAAGAGTAGATCAAATGCTTTCACCTCAGAGAAATAGATAATCCATTTCACTCTACAAAAGGTTTCTCAAATAGAACAGCACTTCTAAAACTATGGAGAGATCGAGGCTTGCATAATCTCTATACATAAGGAGTGATGTCCACAGGCCATGAGCCATTGTTTACACTGCCCTGTCTGCCCCTACATTCATGAGCTACTACCTACAGTACTTGAAGAAGAAGTAAAACAACAACTCTCAGGCAAATTCACCGAATACATGATCTATTTTCAGGTACAGGACTTATTAATCTTTCTGCGCAGGGATGCGTGACCAAGATGGTAAATGATCTGGAAACCAATACCTATTAGGAAAGCTTGTGAGTTGGACCACATGATCCTTGGCTCCTCTTCCAACAAGACCATAGAAGGAGAACAGAGAGGAGGGCTAGCAAATTATTGGAGTAGAACAAAGTGTGATAATGTAACAGTTGATTGATCTGATTGACTACGTAAAAATGCACCCTCTCCTAAAAGTCCTATTTCAGAAGTGGATACAACTGTTGGAAACACTAAAGAAGCTCAAGTCCCAGATGATGTTTAGAGGAAGGAGCCCACCAGAAGGAGCCCCCTCCCCACCATTATGGGAAGAGGTAAACATAAGATGTCAGGTTCAATATGTATCCTGTTTTGCTGGTCTGCAAATGATAAGCAAGACTTCTGCCAATTCCTACATACGTTCAGCTAGATCTTAATTACAGCACTGCACCCAAAAATATTTTCAATTGTGTGTCTTCATGTTCTTTAGTTGGCATCTTCTTTGGTCTTAGGCCTCTTCCACACAGCTGAATAAAATCCCACATTACCTGCTTTGAACCGGGATATATGGCAATGTGGACTCAGCTATCTCAGTTCAAAGCACATATTGTGGCTTATTCTGCCTTGGTATTCAGGGTTATATGGCTTTGTGGAAAGGCCTTTAGTCTCATTCCCTGCTGCTCTATATCTTTGGCTGCTTGGTGACCAAGCGCCTTCTCTGTTAATCCTCCAGCAGAAAATTGCTGGGTGGCTTCTTTGACATTTTCTTAATCAAAGTCTCCATTATTTCCCTTCGGACCCAGATGCAGGAGATAAGATTGCTATGAAGCAAGTAGTTAAGTCCTGAATTTATGCCCCTGAAGGGAGTAGGGCCTTATCTAGACTGCCATGTAATGCAGATCGAACTGCATTAAACTGGATGATATGAGTCTACACTGCCATATAATCCAGTTCAACCTGCATTGTAATGGTACTGTAGATGTGGCCTCTGTTCCATCTCTGGAAAGATCCACTTTGAATCCCTGTCTTTCAAAACCCAGCTAGCAATATAGATTTGAGCTGAGCCCCCTGGTATAATAAAAGCAGTGAAAATACAGTTAGCAATGTAAGGACCTTCTGCTAACCTAGCAGTTCAAAAACATTTATTTATTATTTATTTCCAATATTTCTACCCAGTATTTCCAGTCCTTCTCAACCCCTGAAAGGGGACTCAGAACAGCTTACACTTTGCAACAATTCAATGCCGCTACATATAACAATGCAATAATACAACAATTAAAAACAATAAATAGAGCATTAATTAAAAACAATACAAACAGTATAGTCAGCTATATCACCATCTATATATATAAATTTGTTAGGGGCATCCAACGGAGCCACAAAACTCAAAAACCCCCCAACGAAACTTAA